GACCGATCTCGACCAGATTTGGAACACGCCTTCTTAAGTACCGTCTTGAATATATTTGAAATCGGACAAAACCTACTCCTAAAAATATAGCTAGCTTTGAGTTTTTTGAAATTACCGTTACGTTGGTGGAGCCAGTGGTTTTTGTCCGATTTCAAAAATTTTCAATATGGCGCTTATGTGTTTACCAAATTTATTTGGGATCGGTCGAGTAGCTTTATAGCAGATATCATATAAGTGGGCGGTGCCACCCCCACTTTCGTAAAACTTCTGGAAAACCCACTTTTTTTGCTAAAGACCGATTGTATATATCAATTTTGAATAAATATTGATGAACTCCTTAGCCACACTGCTCAAAAAATTCGAAATTCCGGTACATACACAATATAAATTCAAGGCCGTATTTAAGAAAAGTCGCCTAAATTCGACAATTTTTATGCGATTGCAATAAATGGGGTATAAGTTTATTTGAAAATAGCTTTAATTTTAGATAGTAGTCAAAATTAGGGCTGTGCGATTATTCGATTACTCGAGCAAGTTGGTTAATCAATTATTCGGTTAATCAATTACTCGAGTAATCAAGATTTTTATTACTCAAAACGATGATTAATCGAGTTACTTGAAATATGATTACTCAAAAAAATAATTTTGCTCGTTAAAAGAGTTTACTTTGGAAAATGCTTATTTTCTTTTTTACATTCTGTATATGAAAAAATTTTTCGTTTTAATTTTTGAAAACAGAAATGTTGTTTTCAAAGTATCAAGGAACTTTAACTACTTTATACATATGTAAAGAGTTGAAATGTTGATTACTCATTTTACTCGAAATGTTGATTAAACATAAAGCAAATTATTCAAATATTTTTCTTTTTGGTTAATCAAAAATCTTGATTACTCGAGTAACTGAACTTTTGAGTAATCATAATTTCCAATTAATCGAATAATTGAGTTATTTACTTTATGATTAATTCAAATTTTGAGTAATCAATTAATCGCACAGCCCTAGTCAAAATATAAAAAAATTAAGGGAAATATGGGTCTTTTTTATTCAGGGAAATATGGGTCTTTTTTATTCACCCGATAAAAAATCTCAACAAGCCTAGTTCGACAATAGATTATTATACACCATTTTAAAGGCCTATATATCCTGCTTTCAGATCATATTCAAAGACTCATAAATCTACAAAGTCCTATTTTCTGACCTAATTCGACAGGTCGCGTTCTCTAAGTGACCTCTAAAAAATCTCTAAAAATACGGAATAATATTTCTCGTAAAAACGAATAAAATTAGGGGTAGGGTCTTAAAATTTCCAAAAAAGAATTTTCGCTGAGCACCCTAATGTACATAAAAAGTTTGTTGTGGGGCCCAGGGCCACGTGATCCGGGGTCCTCACAATGTATGTATCGGACTTTCAGATATTTTGAGCAGGGTGGCTAAGGATATCATCAACATTTACTCAAATTCGATACATACCATGGTTCATTAGCACAAATTTAGTTTTTCATAAAATTTTAGGAAAATGGGCGTGGCACCGCCCTCTTATATCATATATGCGTGTCTCAATAACTACTTGACCGATCTCAACCAAATTTGATTTTGACACATTGTGCTTAGCCTCCTTAAGCACCGTGTAGATTATTTTTGAAATCGGCCAAAACTAAGGTGCTCCACCCACATAACGGTAATTTCAAAAAACTCAAAGCTAGCTATATTTTAGGGGAGCAGGTTTTGCCCGATTTCCCGATTTCAATCAACACGTTGCTTAAGGAGACTAAGCACAACGTGTATATCAAATTTGGTCGAGATCGGTGAAGTAGTATTTGAGATACGCATATTTGATTTGACGATATCGAATTTTAGTAAATGTTGATGAATTCCTTAGCCACCCTGCTCAAAATATCTGAAAGTCCGGTACATACACTGTGAGGATCCCGGATCCTGTGGGGTCTTAAGAGCCATTATATATAAATTTTCAGTAAATATTGATAAACTCCTTAGCCACACTGCTCAAAAAATCTGAACGGCCGGCGCATACACATAAATAAATTCAAGGTCGTATTTTTGCTTAATTTGCTTAACCTCGACATTTTTTATGCAATTTCATTAAGTGAGGTATCAATTTATTTAAAAGTGTTATTTTAGGCAAACACTACATATTTGGGAACTTTCGTAGAAATTTTTGAAATCAGGATGAAAAGTAGTAAGTAAATAAGTAAATGCGTCAAGTACGAACGTAACGGTTGTTTTTAAATAAAATGAAAATGGAGTGTTCAGGAACTATACGGAACCTATTGTTATGTTGTACATACATAGCTACAACCTACACTAGGTTTTGTTTCGAGTGGATTTCATGGCTTTTTTGTAGCACCGTGGTGTTATTATGAGAAGACGAAAATAATTTCCATGGTAAAATAATCGTCTCGCGAGACGAAAAAATTAAGAGTCACAGATAATTATTAGGAGCAGATGAAAAAGTTTTTAGTCTAACGATGTTCGTCTCAGGAGACGAAAACAACTTTGCCATTGTTCAGAAATAATTATGCACAATATTTAATTTTATTTCTTATAATCGTTATGGTCTCTGCTCCTAACGAAGTATCTAAATGAAAAATAAAAACTCGCCTACTTTTTATTTATATATGTTTTTAATTTTGTCAATATTTTTTAAATTTTAGGGTTTCTGCCAAAAAAAAATTATTATTTATAGTTGGGCAATTCACAAGGTGTTGTGAAGTTATATTTTCCTAACAAAAGTTGTGTTAAAACACGACGGTTCTGAACACCTGTTACGATTATTTATTATATCTCAGCACTTAACCTCACATAACACCGAATAAACATAGGTTGCAGAGTTGTATCGTCATGTGTTATTTTTCTTCACAAAACAATAACAACATTTTTACAACTGTCATGAAATATCATGACTTCACGACAAACACGACAAATACGACACCTTGTGAATTGCCCAAGTATTAAAAAAATTTAACACCTTAATTTTTTTCATTGTTGGCAATACCATAAACTTAGCTCTTTATAACTTTTTCTGAAACTTAAGAAATGTGGCTTAAAAATGCATATAACTTTTACAGTTCCGGCAGGAAAATCTAAAACTTCTTCACAGGTTCTATTAAAGCTCGGAAAATAGCAAATAAAAAAATCAGTTATTGTTATTTTTTTTCACTCTACCAGACTTTAGCAATTTTGGGTGTTCCAATAAAAACATCTCAAAAGTTTTCGATGGCACAAACTTTTCCATAAAACATTTACCAAATATTATTAAGGTTTTTTGTACGTGCAGTATTAAACAAAACTATTAAATTTCGAGGTAATATACTAAAAACGGAATTTAAATTTTTTTTTTATAACATTTTAAGTTTGTTCCGAGAATATGCATTCATTCCCTACATACAAATTTACTTCTTAGCAGCTAATGCTTTTTTTGCTGCTGGTTTTTTACTGGCTGCAGCTTTCTTGTAGAAAGCTATTAAAGGGACTATGTTAGCTTTACAAAAACGTATACTACTTAAATATTCTAGCACCTTATTTTATTATAATTTTGCCTTTGGGACAAAGCAGAGTATGCCCTCGCTGCAGCAAACTCTATTTCGAATGCTGAAGTGTTTGTATTAGGTACACGAATTTCGATACGATACGATACCATATCGATACTTTTGGCATTCGATACCGATATTTTCTACTCGATAGTTTTAAAACGATCTTTTTTTGGAATCGAGTACCAGAACCCTAGTATCGTATCGAATGGCATAAACTCACATTACAAGGATATTGTTATTAACAATTCTTCCCGATATAAATTGGACTTTAAAGAGCAGAAATTTGTAATATAGTTAGGATTGCATGTGGTGGATTTTGAACCCGGGGCCTCGGTGTTTTAAGTCAACACCTCAATCTCTACGTGTTGTTACACAATATGTTAGTGTTTGTCCGAGATTCTCCTCCGATTTGTCGCGCGCGCCTTAATGTTGTGGCACAAAAGGGGTCCCTACAGTTTTAGGTCGATTCTGAACGGCGATTATGTTTTACTGGGAAGCTTTTTTTCATTTTCAAGCTTTGCGCACTTCTAACCATTACACCACAGCGGCCTATATACGAGGCCTATATTCAGATACATTTTTTGGATTTTGGTATCGATATTTGGAATATCGAGTCTTTTTATTCCGATATTAATGGGTACCCGATATTTTTAAAGCGATCCTTTAAATGAGTACCATATCGATACTTTCTGTTCGATATCGTGTCGCCAGTTTGTATTGTTGCGCAGATTGCTATAGAACATTTTGTTTTGATGTCAACACTTCATTGAAGTACACTGCTTGAAGGGTGTCTTTGCGCTGTCTTTAATGCACGTGTAATCATAAGTGGGCGGGGCTAAATATTTTCCGCCTAAATATCATTGCAAATCTCTATTTTGAGTAAACGAGCTTCAGTAGTCACTAAAATATCGCAATTTGCGTATTTCTGGAAACTACCGTTATATGGGAGGCAGGCGTGGTTATTGTCCGATTTTGCCCATTTTCAATACCATCCATCCTACGCTCGAAGGAAATATACATACCAAGTTTCGTTAAGATATCTCAATTTTTTCTCGAGTTTTCGTGTGCACGGACGCACGGAAAGACAGTCACGGCTTAATCGATTCCTTTCATTCTGATCATTTATGTATACATTTGTCTATATCTAACTCGATTCGTTTTGGCTGTTACAAACAACAAAGATATACAAAGATGAGATGTAAAATAAACACATAATAATACATGGTAATTTTGTTGTAACTAAATAGTTTTTCTTTTCACTTTTTACTACATTATTACCTGTCGTGATAAATCGATTAACATATAGTTTTTATTAAAATTGTATCTCTACATGAAAACGTGCTTTATGTTTAGCTGACGGCTTTTGCCATTGAATTTGCAATGGTGAAACCACGCCTTAATTTAGATTTCGTATTTTAAATTTGTGAGCATACATTTTTTGATTACAGAAGTCGTTGCTTCTAATTCTGTAGAAGTCCACCCATCGTTTGCGCAACCTGTTGTAAACACAGTCAATTTACAGCCGAACTCTACTCAGGTGTCGAGAAGCCCATCACCAAAACAAGTTCGGAGTTCATCAGGGGCAATACCTAAGAGGCACAGCACGGGCAGTAGTATATCGACGCGGAATGTGGGTGCTGATATGACTACCGTTTCGCCGCCAGCATCACATTGCGCAGGCAGCCAGCATGCAACCACTTCAAGCAGAATCAGTAGTATTACTCCATCCAAAATGTGGCAGTGTCCAGCTTGCACATATGAAAACTGCTCTGCATCGGTTGTTTGCGACATGTGCTCCAGTCCTAGAGGGTTAGCCAGCAGCTTAAATGAGGTCACATTCCCAATGTCTGGAAAAATTGTTACGGACATTCGGCAGGAAAGCAAGCTAATGGAAAATTTAAGACAAAATGAAGAAAATGAGGCTCTAAATAAGTGGAAAAACATTATTCAGTACTGTAGCGATAACAATGAACTTTTCGTTGATGATTCATTTCCTCCAGCACCTAAGAGTCTGTATTACAATCCAACAAATAGCATCCCTGATGGTAATCCAGTTGTGCAATGGCGACGTCCTCATGAAATAAATTTTGAAGGGGGGACTTTTCCCCCTTGGGCAGTGTTTAGGACTCCCCTTCCGTCGGATATATGTCAAGGTGTGTTAGGAAATTGCTGGTTACTCAGTGCACTTGCTGTATTGGCAGAACGTGAAGATCTAGTTCGAGAAGTGTTAGTGACGAAAGAAATATGTTTGCAAGGAGCCTACCAGGTACGCCTATGCAAAGATGGCAAATGGATAACAGTATTGGTTGATGATTTATTACCTTGTGATAAACGCGGCCACCTTGTTTATTCACAAGCTAAAAGAAAACAACTTTGGGTCCCTTTAATCGAAAAAGCTGTCGCGAAAATTCACGGATGTTATGAAGCCCTCGTGTCTGGGCGCGCGATTGAAGGCTTGGCAACCTTAACGGGAGCACCTTGCGAAAGCATTCCTTTGCAAGCAAGTTCGCTACCAATGCCTAGTGAAGATGAATTAGATAAGGATTTGATCTGGGCGCAACTGCTGAGTTCTCGATGTGTTCGATTTCTGATGGGCGCTAGTTGTGGCGGAGGAAACATGAAGGTAGATGAAGACGAATATCAACGAAAGGGTCTCCGCCCTAGGCATGCGTACTCCGTGTTAGACGTTAGAGATATTCAAGGACATCGTTTACTAAAACTACGCAATCCCTGGGGTCATTACTCATGGCGTGGAGATTGGTCCGACGATTCAGAGCTCTGGACAGAAGATTTACGAGAGGTATTAATGCCACACGGTGCGTCAGAAGGGGTTTTTTGGATCTCGTTTGAGGATGTATTAAACTATTTTGACTGCATAGATATATGCAAAGTGCGCTCCGGTTGGAATGAGGTTAGATTACAGGTAAAGTTTTTGTAATATAAATATAATATACGCATTTCCTTCCATAATTACAAATTAATGTTTTTGATTTGCTAACATACATCGAACAAAATATTTACAGCTTTTAAAATAATAACTGTCACACTTAATTTTTTGAATTACGATGTGGCTAGCTTTATTTCGATTAATTAATGATTCATTCACAAACCAACCAAAACAGTAATGTGTTTTTTAATAACTTTTCAGGAGAGCAAAAAAACTGATTCCTGGTGCCAATAGGCAATATTTTGCAAATATCGTATTAAAAAAAAAGTTATATTAAAAGTATGTTATTGATTCATGAAAAAAAAATTTATTTTTCTAACCAATTACGACGTGATCAACATTTGCGCCTCTTTAAAGCACATAGCTGTTTTTATCGTATGCAATTTGTACATAATACTGCCGTTAGGCCGTTGCCCGTTGCTCCTGTTATGTAATGAAAAATGGTCAGAAACGTTTTTATTGGATTTTTGTAATAAAAATTAATGCAAAGTGGTGAGTGGACACATAGGTATATTGTACAAAGCATGAAATTGCCAGAGATGCGAACTGTTTTTTCGGTCAGCGTATTAACTTCACCCAATGCACTTTTTCAAAGATTCGATGGGTGATATCCAATAAAAGCTCGTATATGGGCATTTCTCAGAAACTTCGAATTTTTTTGTGAAAATTGTTTTTCTTTTTCAAATCGTGAGCACATGTCTGAAATTTTTAGTATACGTTCCTTGCTGCTAGAATACGAAATGCAACGTTGTGCACCGTTTTAAAGCAACGCACTAAACGCTATTAACGTTTTTTGCTTTTTTTTTTGCAAGTGGAAAGTGAGCGTTATTTTAGTCCGATTTCGAAAATTTTCAACTTATAGCTTTTTGTACCAATGTCAATAATTGTACTGAGTTTGGTTCAAATTGATTAATCGATTACAGAGATACACATACAGCGAACCAAATAAAAACTGGGACGGGACTTTTTAGTAAGTTTTGGCTATTTTTATATATTCTATTTAAAGTTTATTATTTTTTTATGAAAATATAGCTTGTTAATTAACAAATACGAAATAAATCCAAATTTCAGACTTTGTGCAAAATTATGAAAATTCTGCAAAGTTTGACCAAAATGTCCTAACTTCCTGATCAAATTTTGGTATTAAGCTTGGTAGCCCATTAAATTTTAGCAAGCAAAAAAAAAATTTCCGAACATAAACTGCCAAAAATCAACGGTAAGTCCTAGCATCTACAGCCCAAGCGCTTTCATTTGACACCTCATTTTCGAAAATCGAACTAACGGTGCAGATTTGATGACATGGACAAAAAATGCCTTTGGTATTATATATATTGTTTTTTTTGGGCTTCTCTTATTTCTTTTTCGCTCTGTAACTTTTTAATGAACAAATAAAAAGTGGTGCACGAGGATCATAGTTCAATGGTATATTGTACAATAGAGCACACACGTATTTGGCTAAATTATCTAATTCCAGAAGGTGTGCTAATAAAAAATATGCATTTTTACTTTTGTGCACGCATCGTAACCTTTTCAAGAAGTTGTTTTTTTTTTAACTATCTTCTAATGAGAGCACATAAGCCTGCCATGCAGGGTTGCCACTTTGGTAAATTATTACCAAAATTGGTAGAAAAAATTTGGGTTGGTAGAAAGGTAAGTTTTTTCTTATTTTGGTAGATTTTTGGTAAAATATTTTGTTTGATAAACAAATAAAGTTTAGTTCCCGCTTTATTTTTCGTAGTTAATTTTATATGACAAATTTCTTTCCAAAAGTGTAGTCTACTTTATTGCATTAATTTTTGAACGTTTTAAAAGTACACACATACATACATACGTATGTATATCGATAAAAGGCGAACATATCGTGCTCCATTCAAAACTCATTTTACTGGAATCATGAGCAGCTTTTATTGCCTAATATTTTAAATGATTCTTTAAGTAAAAAGAAAAAATGGATAGGCATGTAATTACACCCGGTGATTGTTCACAAAAAAAAGTAAAAAATCACCACAAAAAACCGGCGGGAAAATTTTTTTTTTTTAATCAACAGAAATTTTTAGCTGCACACTGTTTGTTATACTAAAATGGTATTGGCTATAAAACTGCAACCCAAAATTGTTTTAAAAAGTTCGAAATTTTGTCCAAATTCATTTAAATTTTTTTAAATGTCGAAAATTGCTTGAATCTTTGATTATTATGGGTTTGGTTAAAGCGCAAGCAATATTCTTATACAAAAAAAAGTAATAAAAGTTAGAAAACTATAATTTACTTGAAAAACATTGAGAATATTAAAAAAAAAGCCAAGCGATTGTTTGAGTTACTGTATTTGTCTATGATAACTCCAGTTGAAGTTTTTTTCGAATGATGAAGTTTCAGTGTTGCTTTTAGTTTCATCACTTTCGCTTTTGGTTGAAGAAAACCGAGAACATGTCGTTAATATCATCTCAAATACCATATAAATAAAAAGTTCCTTAAACAAATTTTGAATTTTTATTGAAATAGCTAAAAAATTAAAACCAAACTATAGTTTTTGTTACAATATCTAAGAAAATTATTGGTAAATATTTTATGTAACCTGATTTGTGTTAATAAACCAGCGAAAATTATGTGTCCGAAGAAAAACTGGCGAATCATGCGAAAGTTCGAACTAAATAATTGAGAATTGCCCATATACAAGAAATAATTTCAATATAATTATAATTGAATTTTTATTAAATGCTTTCACATTTGTATACATTAAGCAAATTTGCATAACGCAGTAAATAGTAATCATAAAACGAACGGAAATCTTTGTGTATATATTGCTTTAACGTTTGAAGTCTGTTGTATTAGCTCCGTTTCGTATTGATGTAATAACAGAGCTCGTTTTTGTGGCAATGATGTCCAGCAGTCGGTATGACGCAACTTGAATTTGACTTCACCATTTACATAAAGCAATTCTCTGATACTGCTTACTGGTGCTTCCCCAGGTTTTTTACGTGGCCTTATAGTTGTAAAGTTACCAGGAGCACTCTCATAATTAAAAAATTGTATACTCTAAATAACACAGGTCCACAAAAAAAAATCGATGAAAGGTTCCTTTGACCAAACCTAGTCTGTTATATGTTTTTGAGGTCGCTGAGCACGAATCTGAAGTCCGTTTTGCTCCATCTTTGAAAAAAATTCAGACGTGATGGAGCAAAACGGACTTCAGATTCGTGTTCAGCGCCCCAAAAACATACAATAGACTAGGTTTGGCCAAAGGTACCTTTCATCGATTTTTTTTGTGGACCTGTGTAATTAACGATATAAAGATGTGATGGCCTCACCTGTCACATACGACTTATGTAGTCCATTGGTGTGTAATTGATAACACAGGTCCACAAAAAAAAAAAAAAAATCGATGAAAGGTTCCTTTGACCAAACTTAGTCTATGACATGTTTTTGGGGTCGCTGAACACGAATCTGAAGTCTTGAAATCAAAGCACACTCATCAGATTCGCCTGCGATCAAAAACAGTTATAAGCAAGTAAGCGTATACCCGTTTTTTCAGAGTATTTTTAGTACTGCGGGCACATAGCTGTTTTTTGTCAGTTCTAAACCAAAAGATACATATATAACAGAACGGCAAATGCAGTAATGTGGGCAATCGATAAGGGGTATTCTCGAAGTCTTGCACGATGCAAAGATTGCACGAAATGCAAAAATACTATTCCAAATTTGGAAGAGTACGAGAGCACCCCATTGCAAAGTAGTAGCATGCATAGGTAGCAAGCAGCGAAATTCTGTATCAAATACAATAACAAGATACAGCAAAAAAATGAGGTGAGCGAAATGAGAGGAATGAGAGAAATATGTAGCAATCCAACAACAAAACAACTAGAAAGGGTCGCATTTATTTTGCTATGCTTTTTTGCAAAATATATACATGGGTTTCGACATTGCATATTTTGCAGCGATAGGAAATGGTATTTCCCATATATTTTCTTGTTGTGTGTTTGCAAGTAATGCAATCCGTGCTACGTGCAACGGCTTTGCAAGATTTGGAGAATAACCCTATAGTGTTAATAAAATATGCAATAAAAAAATAAAAAAAAAATTACATAACTGTTTTTGTTGGCGCAGCGACGATATAAACTTTTTACGACATATTTTAAGCATTCATTTCAATCCTCTTACCCTTGATTTGCAGGGCTTGCTTTGAACATTTGAGAAAATTTTCGCAGGAGGCACGGTCGGGTCCGTTTGATATTTCGTCCCATATTTTTGTTCTTTTTGAAATTATCCAAGCTCATGTTATTTATGTTACCTACTTAGTTTGCTTGGCATACAGCCCCAAACGCTCTAATCCGATGGGTTTATATTAAGGATTTTAATTTTTCAGCTTTTTCCGATCCCGGGATTTTCGCGATGTCGCTATCACAATCCCGGGACCCCGGGATTAGTCCTGGGATTTGGATATTCATTACTTTTCAACAACTTAAATCGAAAAACTTGCTTCTATATTGTTTGAGAAGCTCTCCTACCATAAAATAAATAATAAATAGATGGGTTTGAAACCTGCTTTTTTATTTAAAGTGGCGTTTTTATTTTTTCTCTCTGACGTCAGGATTTATTTTAAAGGACTTTATAATTTCAAAGATATGATTAATTCCAAAAATTATTTAACAAATTCAATGCAATGTAGAATAAAAATATGGGTACCAAATGCAAGAGGAAATTTCTTTAGAATTTAAAATAATTAAAATTTTTTGGATTCACAAGAACGAATAGGTAGGTAATTTTTTAAGCTGATAAAGTTAGAAGGACGAAATTCCAGGATGTTATTGAGTTTATATAAGTCCTTAACATATAATTTTTTCAAAAACAAATATTGCGAAATTGCAAGGATACAATTTTAAAAGGGCATTTTCAATACTTACCAATCCTTCTGCACCAAAAACTTGATTCTGCTTAAATTCCACAGAGTTTCCTCTTTAATTTGATACCCATACTTTTTC